TAGGGGCACCTGGGTGGCTCAGTTGGTTAAGCGACCGCCTTCGGCTCAGGTCATAATCCTGGAGTCCCTGGATCAAGTCCCGCATCGGGCTCCCTGCTCAGCAGGGAGTCTGCTTCTCCCTCTGACCCTCCCCCCTTCTCATGTGCTTTCTCTCTCTCTTTCTCTCTGTCTCTCAAATAAATAAATAAAATCTTTAAAAAAAAAAAAAAACCTGTGGCTAACATCATACTAACAATGAAGTATAGAACATTTCCCCCTAAAGATTGAAGAAATCAAGGATATCCAATCTTAGCATTTCTATTCAATGTTGTCCTATAGGTGCTAGCCAATGCAATAAGGAGAGAAAACCAAGAAACTGTCTCTGTGCAGATGGCATGACTATTTACATGGAGAATCCTAAGAACCCTACAGGAAAAAACTAGTATAATTTATGAGTGAATTTAGCAATGTTCCAAGAATATAAAGTCAATATACAAATCAATTGTTATTTCTACTAATTGTAACAACTAATTGGAAAATGAAACTTAAATATTTACAGTGGCATTCAAAAACATAATTTGCTAGTTCCTGGGGATAAGTTTATTTTAAAATATGTAAGACCTGGGGCGCCTGGGTGGCTCAGTCAGTTAAGCATTTGCCTTTGGCTCAGGTCGTGATCTCACGGTCCTGGGGTCGAGTCTCGTGAGTCCTACGTTGGGCTCCCTGCTCAGCAGGGAGTCTGCTTCTCCCTCCCCCTCTGTCCCTCCCCTTCTCCCCTGCTTTAAAAAAATATATATATGTAAGACCTGTATACTGAACACTATAAAACACTGCTGAAATTCAAGATCTAAATAAGGGAAAGACATACCATAATGGCATATATTACACACACCATTTTATATGTAATGGAAATATCCATTAATCCATGTCAGTAGACTAGAGAATTCAATATTATTAAGATGTAAATTGTCCCTACATGATCTTATACTTAACTCAATACCAATCAAAATTACAGAAGCCTTTTGTTTTGAGAAATTCACAAGCTGATTCTTTTTTTTTTTCACAAGCTGTTTCTAAAATGTATAAGAAAATGCTTAGAACCTAGGAGAGCCAAAGCAGTTTTTAAAAAGAAGATGGAGGATTTACATGACCTTACTTGAAGACTTATAAAGTCACAAGACAGTTGGATTGATGAGAGTATAAACAGATCTATGTAACAAAACAGAGAATCCAGACATAACATAGATGATTTTTGACAAGATGCCAAAGCAATTCAATGGAGAAAAATAGTTTTTCAACAAATGGTGCCAGACAACTGGCTACTCACATGGAATAAAAACTAGACTCAGATCATACGAAAAAATTAGAGATGGATCATGAAGCTAAATGCAAAAACAAAATCTATAAAGCTTCTGGAAGAAAATACAGGAGAATATCTTTGTGACTTGCTTAGGCAAAGACTTTTAGAAAGGACACTGAAAGCATGAACTGAAAAAGAAAACCAATTCATAAATTAAACTTTATCAATAACAAAAACGTCTCATCAAAATATACCATTATGGTGGATACAAGACTATGCGTTTTTCAAAACCCATAGAAGCATATAGCACAGAGAATAAAGTATAATGTATGCAAAAAAAAATTAAACAGAATGTCAGGGATCTCAAGATGAAACACAGACTGTGACCACTGATTTCAACTGTGTCAGAAGCGTATGACATCAACACACTGAAGGGGGTGGGAAAGAAGGAGCTGACCTCAGCACCTCTGGAAAATGATGTTTGACTGGGAGGCTAAAGACAGAAAGAACCACACATAAACACTGTACTCTAGTTGATAAATTTGTCTCGTGTGGGGATGGAATGTGGGCGAACAATTCTGAAACTGCTTTATGTGCACACTGGGGCTGGGCTGGACAGATATGAAAATGGATAGTGGGGGGGGTGCCTCGGTGGTACAGTTGGTTAAGCACCCAACCTTGGTTTCCCAGGTCGTGGTCTCAGAGTCCTGGAATCAAGCCCCGTGTGGGGTGTAGAGCCTGCTTGGGATTCTCTCCCTCCCTCTGCCTCCTACCCCCCACCGCTCTCTCCCTCAGTTAAAAAAAAAAAGGAAAGGAAAGGAAAGGAAGAAAAAAAGAAAGAAAAGAAAAGAAAATGGACAGTGGATGGTGGGAAGTAGGTTCTGACAGGAAGGTTACAAATAAGCATGTTACAGATTACAGGTTACAGACACACACGTCATCTAGCCCCGCCCACCGGGAGGACCTCAGGCCCGGACACCAGTGCCCAGATCCCAGCTTCTAAACACCATCCTCCAATGAAAGAAACCAGGGCTCCTTGGAGAAATGGCTGATTTCAGGGCGGAGGCAGGCACACAAGATGAACCTGGAGCATCTGGAAGCGCCAACAAGAAAGGAAGTGCCCCCAAAACAAACAAATGAAAGAGCTCCCAACAATGTGCGCAGCAAAACCACGCAGGGCTGGACCGGACCCAAAGTACACGACAAACATCCAGGAGCCCCAGCTGACGGAAGGAAACGACCGATAAATCCACACATGGGGGACAGAGAAAGCCTCCTTACAGAATTCCAAATGATACAGTGGATCTCCCCTGCCACCCCCACACCGCGGGAGGCCCGGCTCATTCCCACCCCCTGCAGGGCGACTGCCTCACTGAGCGGCCACTAGAGAAGACAGGAGGGAGCGAGGAGACACCTGGCACGCACCACCTGGACCAGGTGGCCAGGCCAACGTGGCCAGGCCAACGTGCCCCGTGCTGTCCTACAGATGCCAGCGCCCCCGACAGCATGTGATGAGAGGGCCACCTCACCACCGCTGGGGTGTTCTCTCCCAAACCCACGACACCACTCTAAGCACCAGAAAACACAGCAGACAAACCCAAAATGAGGGACATGCGACACAACACCTCTGCAGTCCTCCTCAAAACAGTCAGGGTCATGAAAAAGGAAGAGAGTCTGAGACACCAGCCCACCCCACAGGGAACAAAGGAGCTGTGACACTCAACGCGGTGTGGGACCTGGACAGGGATGTTGGCAAACCGAGTGAAATCTCACATCTGCAGTGTAGACAGCAGGAACATAGCACTGCTGTTTCTCAGTTTCCACAAATGCACCGTGGTTACCTAAATGTCGGTATGAGGGAAAACCGGCCATCTCTGCCACTTTTCTGTAACTCTAATACTACTCCAAAAAATTTTAAGTGCATTTCTAAAATATACCATTAATAAAATGAATAAGCAAGTCAAAGAATGGGAGATAATATTTGCAATATGTATCTGACAAGCCATGTATCCAGAAGATAAAAAGGGCTTTTACAACTTGATAATTTTAAAAAAGGACAAAAGACTTGATTGGACATTTCAGAAAAGAGGTATGAATGGTGACAGGTGGAAAAGTGCTCAGCATCACTAAGCTCTAGGAAATGCAAATTAAAGCCACCACGAAAACACTGCTCTGCAGGGTCACTCGCAGGGATTTTCCCAAGAGAAAGGAAAACACACCCACAGAAAATGTGTACAAGACTGTCCATAACCTCTTTAGTCACACAAACCAAACCCAAGAAACCCCACCAAGTGCCATCACAGGACTTATAGGTGCACGGTGGCACATCCCAGGAGTGCCAACACAGCAACACCCAGGGTCTGAGGCCAAGACGTCCAGGTGCGGGGAGATTCCAGAGACTCTGTCTGGCGTGGGCTGCTCCCGGCTTGCAGGTGGTGCCTGCTTGCTGCGTCCCATAGCCCTTCCCTGGGCCTGTGAGCAGACTGCTCTCTCTCTTCTCATAAAGGCACTAATCCCACCATGGGGCCCATCCTCATGACCTCATGTAACCATAACCACCTCCCAAAGACTCCTCCAAAGATCAAAACACTGGGAGTTAGGGTTCCAACCTACGGATTTGGGGGACACGACCATTCAGCCCACAACACAAGGGACCTTTCAGGGATGACAGAAATGTTTTCTATCATGACAGGTGTGCAGGTTACATAGCTGGATGCATTTGTCAAAATTGGCCAGACTGGACCTATGCATTTCACTGCATGTGAATCACACCTCAATAACTGAATAGGTGGGATTCATTTTGAAAATCGTCCTGGAGCCAAAAAGTTAAATAATTGGGTAAAAATATTCCTACATGGTAATGAAAAATTTGGTGAGAATTTAAATTGTACTATATGTTGTCTCACAATTCCTTTTTCCTTAGAATTGGTTTCAATGAAGAAATAAAGCCTCCAGGTTGCTGTGATTCTAAACAAGTAATGCATCCTGGTTACCCGGGTGGAATTTTTTTTTTTTAAAAGATTTTATTTATTTATGTGACAGAGAGAGACACAGCGAGAGAGGGAACACAAGCAGGGGGAGTGGGAGACGGAGAAGCAGGCTTCCCGCCGAGCAGGGAGCCCGATGCGGGGCTCGATCCCAGGACCCTGGGGCCATGACCCGAGCCGAAGGCAGACGCCCAACGACTGAGTCACCCAGACGCCCCGTACCTGGGTGGAATTATGTGTGGTGGGTAAATAAGGGGTTACTGCTGACAGGACAACCTTGTAAACAGGCCCTCCAGCCGGAAGCCTTGCCCGAGTGACCACACCAATATTCATTGCAGCCCTGGCCCCCAGCCTTCAGGCAGCTGTGGCTGGACAGGACAGCGGGGGACGGCTGGTCCTCAGCTCTGGGTCTGATGCACTGATGGGAGCACGACACAGGCCCACTGGGCCTCCCCCCATCAAAGGAGGTACTGCTGGTTATTTTCTCAGCAAGCAAAGGAAGCAGACATGGAATCTGACTCTCAGGAAAAAAAATAAGAACATGCTTCTCGATCTAAAAATCCCATCTCATGCTGGGATGGAAAATCAACGGTGATGACTTGACTGGACGTAAAGGAAACATCCCAGCCAGCTGACATGTATGGCAGATGCCAGGAACGGCACGTGGGCCCCCACTGCGCACCACCGTGTGGACTCCACACACCCGAGAGGGGTGTGCAGCCCCTGGAGCCTACCTGAGGGGTCTGCATGCTGGAAAACCACTCAAAGGCATCCCTGGCCGTGGGGATGCGGAATTCTCAGTGCTACGGTGACTAAAGTCATTCTTCCAATGAGTTAGACGACAAATCACAGCTTACCTTAAGTACAAGAGTAAGTGAAGGCTGGGGAGGTGCCTTTGGGGTCCTGGGGCGCTGCCTGTGCACCAGCCCACCAAGACATCTGTTCGCTCTGCTTTGGGGAGGAATATACCAGCACAGGGGCGGGAGTGTGTGTGTGCCAGGAAAACAAACTTTCCGGATAATTCAGATTTTATTTCCTTTTAGGAACTTCTGAAAACAATGTGGCCATTAAGATTCTGGCTGAACACAGACTACTATCCGGTGGCTCTCAGCCGGGAGTGGGACGGGAACAATCCAGGTGGGCTATTAAACTTCCCCAGCCCGGGCCTCTTCCAGGGCCCCCCCGGGGTTAAAAACCACGAGAAGCACGAGGCCCCAAGTCAGCCTTCTCCGCAGAGCGTAGTCGTACTACGAAAAACAAGAAGAAAACGGGGCCAAGTTTGACACCTTCGAATTCAACAGGACGAAGCGGTTAAGAAGGGTCACAAAACAGTTCTTTGGGGGAGAAGCTGCATTTGCCAAAATGCTATTCCCTGAAACCCTTGAAAAGCCCTATCCAAACGTATCCAAACGGCCTGGTCTTAAGTTCCAGCGGAACTAACGTATCGGACAGTTACGGTGGCGACACGCTCCTCGAAAACCCACGTTACGCCTCAACCTTCACGGCGATAAACGGACTCAGGGCCGACGCCTCCAGGGAGAGGGCTTCCAGGGCATCCGGGGGCCTCCCGCTCGCCCCGCCCGGGCTCGGGCCTGAGGGCGAGGCCGCCGGGCGCCGCGGCTTCGGGGACGCGGGGGCGTGTGCCTGAGGCTGGCGACCGACGGGCTCTCCCAGCGGCTGCGCCTGCGGGACGTTCGGCGGACCTTTGTGCCGGCTCCGAGCCCCGCGCCGCGCCCGAGGCCGCCCGGCCCCGGCGTCCGCGCCCCCAGGCCGCCCCGCGAGGCCCTGCCCCCGCCCCCGGTCCGCCCCCGGTCCGCCCCCGGCCCCGGCCGCCCGCGCGCCCGCCCCCGGCCCCTCACTCACCCCGGCGCCCTTCGCGTTCCTCTTTCGTACCCCCCGCCCTGCGGGCGGTCGCGCCGCGCTCCCTGGGATTTGTAGTCTCTCTGCCACCTCAACCCCGGTACCAGGCCGCGCGACTCCCAGCTTCAAACTACAACTCCCGGCGGTGCCCGCGAGAAAAACCCTCTCTCCAGAGGGGTTCCGGCACAGGGTTCTCGCGAGGCCGTGGGAGGCGCGCGCGGAGCAACCTAGGAAGTGTAGGCGAGGCCGCCTCGGCCCCGAGAGCGGGGCCGCAGACCAAGCTGGCAAGGGGAAGAGCCGCGCTCCCCAGGAGCCCACGCGCGCCGGCCGGCCTTGGCGTTGCCGGGAGCCCGGGAAGCCGGGGCGCGCCGGCCAGCAGGGGGCGGCGCCCGAAAGGCGGTGTTCGCGGCGGCGCGGCGCCAGCCCGGACCGGCGCCCGGAGTCAGGGACACAACCGGGGCTTCAGCCCGGAAAAGAAGAGCGCAGGCCCGCGCCGAGGCCACGGCGTTTATCGCGTTCTGCTGGTTGTAGGCGCGGGTGGAAAGCCCCCGTCCGCGGCGACTCGCGGTCTCCCGCTCGGTGTTACAGGACGGGGCCGCTTCACCCCGTGCCTGGGGAGGAGCCCCTACCCCCGGCAGAGCGGAAGCCCCTCCGGGAGGCGAGGCGTGTCTCAGAAGCCGGCCGTGAAACCTAGCTGCCCGCCTCAGGCGCGGGGCGACCCCAGAGCCTGGCTGCCTGCGCGAGAGGCCAGCGCTGCGTCCCGGCGAGGAGCGCGCAGCGGTCGCCGTTCGCGGAAGCGTCGGTGTGCGGCGCTGGGAAGGAAGCTGCGGCCTTGGCTCACCTTGCCGACCGGCTCTGCCACTTCGGAGACCCGCGGCAGCTTTTCGCGCGGGGTGGGGTCGGGATGGACTAGGGTGCCCGGTGCCCGGCCCGCGGCAGGGCTGGCCTGGCAGCACCTCGTGGGCGCCAGGGAACGGAGAGTACGACTGCGCACCCCGCCCTGCGTGGCCGGCGCGGGGACACCTTCCCGGGGATGCGCTGGCCCCGCGGAGCTCCGCAGACAGGCACGGGCGCTGGGTGCGCTCGGGGGTGTCATTGTGAGTAAAGAGCGGCCGCTGTCGGTGCCGTGGGGCTGGCGCTGGCCCTCCTCGAGGGCCTGTAAGTGAGCAGAGAGATCCGTGACCTTGGCCTGAACCAGAAAGGGCAGCCATAGCCCAGCACAAGGAGGTGCCTGAGCAGACCCTCCAGCGCGGGCTTTGACACAGGCTTTTCAGGTCTCACCTGCACTTGGCACTTCCGTATCAATAGGGATGGATGGGAAGGAGACAGGTGTGACCTGGGTTCCTCTGAGCTGGCGGGGCCGGTCAGGCGGGTTGTCTTCACACGGAACTACGCCTGGAGCCATGAGGCCTCAGGGATGGGGAGGGGGCTGTGAATGCTCCCCACAATTAGTTCCAAAGTCCCCGGGGTCTATGTAGGTGACTGAGCTGTCTAGCAACCTAGGCTTGGCTTTGTCCCAACAGGATGACACCGTGGCTCGTGGAATTTCCACGAGTGTGGTCTCAGGCTCTGCTTCTGAGCTGCCCCTGGACAAAAAGAACAGTTGTGTGCATCCTGCAGCATTCATAGTTTTGCGATTATTCAATAAGTCTCTTGTGTGTTAATAAAAGGGTTTGGAGCCTGTCAGCCTCCCTGGGGGTATCTGAGTGAGAGGTGAGTGTGGGTTAGGGTTAGGAGTTGCAAGTGTGCTGGGGCGTGGGTACCACTGGCCTCTGGCACCCAGGGCTCCCTAACTCTGGGATGTCCATGTGGCCTCCTTCCCAGCTGGCCTCTGTGCCTGAGTCCTGGGGGTTCGCTTCCCTTTGGCACACACCTGAGGACATCCCTCCCAAGTTTGAACATCCAGAGTCTTCAGTGGAAATAGGGTGCCAGCCTTGCAGCATAGGGATATTTCCAAGAAGAGTATTGGGAACGGCAGGGAGAGTCATGTCTGTGTTTCTATCTTGGAGGACAGCACTCACTCAGCTTCTTTAATGGGAGGTGGGAGTGCTGCCCAGGCTGCCCCTTGGGGGCCTCTGTGGCAGGAGTTGTCACAGGCCTGGCTGTTAGCTAAGCAGGCCAGTGTTCCAGGGAGACTGGGGGACACGGCTTGCCACAAGAGCCCTGGGGGCTGATGGAGCTGGCCAGGGAGGCTGCCATGGGAAAGTTCCTACTGGGCCTAGTGGTGGGCTTCCACCTTTCTGTCCATTCTGGTTCTGATTGGTTCCAGGCTTGGGGGGCGAGATCAGGCCCAGGGAGGGCCTAAACCCTTTTAGGCTCACACCTCCAGGAAGCTGCTGCAGGTGTGGGGGGAGGGGTCCCATGCAGGAGCCATACCCAGGATCCACCTAAGGCTTAGGGCTCTGAGGGCAGGATCCCAAGGGCAGGAACTGGCCTTAGGGACCCTGGCAGGGGCTGTGCTGTAAGCCAGGCCGACTCCCAACCAGCCAGCTGGGTCCTGACCTGCAGGAGCCCCCGTCACCCAGTCAACCCCAGCCCCATCACTGCTGGTCCCCACAGGTGCTCCCTTTGCTCACGTGTTCCCAAGAGTGGCAGGACAGAGCTCAGGACTGACTGTTTCTCTGCCCCCACCCCCTCAGCTCATCTCCTAAATTCAGACCCCACCTCCCAACTCAAACCTCCTCCCCAGCCTTCCTGGGCATCCCTTGGGAGCCTGACCCCCAAGAGGGGGTCAACTTACATCTGCCCCTCGCCCCCTGCCCTCTGGCTGGGGTCCTGGGTGACTCTCTTGTCCCCCATGTGTCCTGGCGTGGCCTAGACGTTGCTGTCCAAGTATCTCCTGTCTCCTCCCTCATTCAGGCACTCAGGGAGGTCTTCTCCCCAGTGTCGGGGCTGGGCTACCCCAGGCTGTTGTACCCCTTGCCACGAAACTGCCTGGTGGTGCACAGCTGTCCCCCCCCACCCCCTCCCAGTGCCACTCCCTCTTGTGTACTGTGTAAGGCAGGCAGGGGCAGCCCAACAAGACCTGTGAAGCTGTTGTCAGTGAGGGCACCCAGAAAACATGGAGGAAAAGTCTGCATCAGGTAAATGTTCTGATGGTGGGTGGCCCCCTGTGGCCCAGAAAAGGCTAAGAGAGATGTTCTTAGAACATTCTAAGTAACCCTATGAGCTAGATGGTGCCGAGAAGATGAAAGAATGCAAGATTTTATTAGGTTAAGTGCATAATATAAGGACATCTCTTAAGGAGCCCATCAAGTTAAAATTCTCTAGACTAAAACAAAAAATATATTTACTTGACTATCTCAAGGGCCACAAAAATGCAAAATCCCATTCAGCAGTCATGTGGGGGACGCTCCCTGCAGGCCACAGGGAGCAACACAATATGGGACATGGGCTGGTGCCCACAGAAACCCACCATGGTCAGGGAGGGGATCCCGCCAGCATCCCGCAGAAATCTCGGGGTCAGGGGCACCGCCTTGGCCTGCTGGGCTGGCTATGTCCCTGCATGGACACCATTCTACCCTGCAGAGATTTCAAATTCAGTATGGGGAAGGTTGGGAGAGTCAATAAGCCACACGAATGTTTGTGGCATTGAAATGGAATCAGGACACATTCTACATTTGTTTTGTTTTGTTTTTACATTCTATGCTTGTAATGCGGAAGAGAACTCATCGGGTGACAGGGTCAGCTTTCCCACTGAGTCATTGTTCACAAGAGGAAACTTCTTAGACTTGGTGTTATAAGGTGAAACCCAACAGTGTTGGAAAAGTTAAGAGACACTTTGGAATAACCCATGTATATGCTGAATACAACTTGGATGGATCTCATGGACATTTGCTGGGTGAAATAAATCCAATCTCAAAAATCCAGTCCAATATGCTGTGATTCCACTTACCTAATATTCTTGAAATAGAATTATGGATGTGGAGAACTGACAAGAGTGGTCGCCAGGGGCTAGGGATGGTGGGGGGTGGCGAGAAGGGGCAGCAAGACGTGTCTCTGTGGGGTGGAGCAGCCCGAATCTTGATGGCAGGGTGGTCACAGGAACCACACGGGGATCAAACGGCAGAATACACACACTGTGTGCCAGTGTCGCACCCCAGTGGTGATGGTTGGCACCCCAGCTCCTAGGAGCCTCCCTGCTGAAATCTGAAACCGGCCCCAAGTGTGGAGGGCAGGAGAGAGAAGAAAGAGGCAGGACGCTCCAGGTTGGCAGGTGGCAGATTGAATAAACAAAGGAACTTACACATGAGGCTGGTCTTGGGCGGCAGCAAGATGGATGCCCCCCCCACCCCCCACCGGTGCACCAGATCTTCCAAAGTTCACGCAGAGGCCTTAAATGGGCTCAGTCACACCTACCCTGCGGCTGTTGTCAACACCTCGCCATCTCTAAGCTGTGTCCTGGAGCCACCTCTGGGAGCAGGGAAGGCCAGCGCAACCCACACTCCAGGGACGGGGGACGGCGGAGGAGCCTCGGCACTGTGCCCTCTCAACAGTGATGTGCACTACGTCTTTAGGAAGCTATTTCTGTCGGGGGGAACCTGAGTGGCCAGCACGCAGGACTCCGTAAGGTCTGCTGCTTATCTACCCTCTGGGTCTTTGGTTTCTGTCCTGTCTCCTGACACCGAGGGACATTGCTCAGGCTCAGCTTTTTCCTATAACGTGGCTGTTCAGACAAAGGGGGCCTGCAGCTTCTGAAAGAGGAGAAAGCCTCACGGAGCTGCCAACAGAGCCCCAGACTAGCCACACTCTCTGGGGCCAGGATTGTCCCAGAGGAGCCTGAGCGGAACAGCCAGCTTCCCATCTGAGGCCTTTCTGATGTTGCCAGGAAGGCAGGTTCCTGGGCCAGCCTGAGGAAGGAGGGGTGCCTGAGCTCACCGCTCCTCCTCCTGGTGGGTGGGAGCAGGCCTCCCCCCCCCCCCCCAACCGCACCCTGCCGCCCAGCTCCTCGGCTCCTTTGGGAGTGTTCTCCGCAGTTACTGGGAAGGTGGGAAGGTGCTCTAACTTCCACACAGCTGTTCAGGGACGTGCGCTGAT